CCCTCTGACTGCTCTTCTCTCCAGGCTGGAAGGCAGATCTCCATCTTTTCATGTTGTACATTTCCTCTGCTACATTTCCTTCTCTGTAGTCTTTAAAGGTTTAGTGAGTTTGACTCCCTGTTTGTTGTCTGGATAAACTCTGAAGAAAATAACATTGCTTGGTAGAATTCTGACCTTGGATTTCTTGGGAAATGTGCTGTATATGTTTTTCCAAACTAAGAAAAATCAGTTATCAGGTACAAGGCAAAAGGAAGGTGTTACAGTTCTCCTCTGAGAGTGCAAACTGTCAACAGAGGCTTTAGTAAGAAGAAGGAATCTGATGATGTTAAGTTGAAAGCAAGAGCAGGAAAAAGTGACCGTGGAATAGAAGGATAGGCTGACAGTTCTAGAGCCAGGGCAGGGAGGGAGCTTGTAGGAGAGAATTGGTCATGATTGCTTATGGCAACATGTGTTATGGCCCACTCTGCTACAACTGTAAGTCATTCTTGCAAAAAAAAAAAAAAAAAAAAAAAAACCCAAAAAACCTTTATATGCATAGTGTACTGTATACAAATGCCTAGCTTGTATTCCAGGAAATAAGTTTCAACAGCAAAGTAAGTGTTTGAGTTGACAGTCGCAACGTTTGAATCTGTGTACTATTGTTAACTTTGCTCATAGATTTGATTGTGAGTTGTTGCATTGCATGTTAGGGGTCAACAAACTTTTTAAAGGGCTAGAGAGTAAATATCTTAGGCTTTGCACACCATACAGACTGTCTCAGCCATTAACTCTGCCATTGCCTGTGAAAACAGCCATGGTCTGTGTGCAGAATGAGTGAATGTTGTGCCTTTCCAAGAAAAAGCAGACTGCGGTCTGGATGGTGCCTGCTAATAGACTATGTTCAATAATGTTTGTAGGTATTTACCAGATTTTAGTATTTGTTAATGGGCTTGTTAAGGTGACTGTGTCTTGTTAAAGAAAGATTTTAGATAGCCATATTAAACACAAAATACTCAGATGTTTTTATTAGAAACCAGATCTATCTGCGTTGCCCAGTCTTTTATCCATCCAGCTCCTGGGTTCAAGCTACCCTCCTATTTAGGCTTCCAAGTAGCCACAACTTCCAAATAAGCCTTATTTGGAAGTATTTTAAAAATAACAAATTTGGGAGAATTTTAGAGAAACTGCTGGAAATACCTGGTTTTTCTTCTCAAAACTAAAGATTAGTATTTGATGCGAATCTGGACATTCCCAGAGTCAAGGGCTGCTGCCTCTCACGCATACTGTACTGCTGTTTCCCAGCGTCATTCAGCCCTCTCTTTGCTTTGTGGTTTCCCTAAGATTTATCTGTACTTATAGCTTGTAGCACTCCCCCCACCGCTTGTTTTCCACTGGGAGATAAGGAATTTGTGGAACTCCAGAATTGGTAGTAACTCAGACCTGTCTTTTCTTCCCAAATATGTAATACATTTAATCCAAACACATTCAATCTGGAACAGATTATTCTTGAAAAATACTAGACATGAATATGCTTGATTGTGTCGTGGTATTTTAGAGAGCCAGAACGAGAGAATGTTTATAGTGCTGTGCAAATGGTCCATGTTATTGTTTGGGCAGGATCGCTGTAGTTCATGCTTTTTCTACCATGATGCCTAAAACTTCAATCATCCTAATGGGTAAAAGACAGGGAAGAGAACTAAGAACACTTACTTTGAGCATTCAGTTCAATACTTAGTGAAGATGCAGTTTATTTTATTTTATTTTTTTTTAGTATTTATTTATTTTTATTTATTACATTTATTTATTGTGTGTGTGTGTGTGGCCAGCTCAGCCCACCAGGGGGCGGGGCTGGCTGGCATGTGGTGCTGGAGGATCGAACCGAGGTCCCTGTGCTTTGCCAAGCTTGTTTCAAGTAGGTGCTTTAGACCACTGAGCCATCTCTCCAGCCCCCAGTTTATTTTAGTGATAAGAACATATATATTTTTTTAATTTTACTTTTATTTTTTTTGAATTTTTAGGGAAGGGTCTACAGGGTGTTCAGGGTCTCACTACTATATTGGACTCATAGTGATTCTCCTGTTTATAGCCTCCCAAGTGCTGGGATTACAGGTGTACCACCACACCCATTCTCAGTCACACTGTCTCAGTGCACCCCAGGAGTGGGTCCGGCACAGCAGGCCCAGGGATTGAACACCTAGCCCCTTTGCCTGCTTGCAGGCACTTTAATCTGCTGAGCTATTTGGCCAGCCCAAGAGCATAGATTTTTGGAGCCAGAAAAATATGATCTGATAACTGGTTTTGCCATTTATTTGAAAAAAAGTCTTGGAGATTTTTACTCAAACCTGTCTATATAGCATTTCCTTGTGTATAAAAGGGGAGTAGGACTTCCTGTCAATTTGGTTGTTGTTCAGGTTACATCACACAATGCAAGAAATGCGATCAACACAGTGCTGGAACTAAGGCTCACTGAACAGTTATTAGTAACTCATAGATGGTTGTGTTCCTTCTGTTTGAGGAAATCCTTATAGAGAGTTAAATGGTTTGTGAAGGCCACATTTTAGTAATTTGGAAAAGTCAGCCTGGCTGCTGCCCAAGTCCATGGTATCCTGCTTCTTAAAGTAATTTTGGTGACTGGCCCTTCTACAGCAGGGCATGCCGTGGGCTGGTGGCACAAAAGGGAAAGGTAGGGGCTGGTTCTTGCAAGGCTAAGCATTTGCATTATTTGGAAGCTACAGTATCTGGAAACCAAAAATATGGTTATAACTGAAAAGGTGAGATGATTTGTCCTGATATTTTTTCTTGTTGCTTAGCTGCTCTGTTGACTGCCAAGAACTTGTTTAAGGACTTTATTCTAGCCTGTTACTCAGATCTCATCACATCGCGATGGCATTTAAGAAGCTACACGTGTTCTTTTAAATTGGACATTTCTATTTCTGTTTTACAAAGGAAAATGTAGTACTGTCTTAGATACCTCCAGTTGGAGTTAGAAAGTTGAGCTGGATTTCTTTCTTCCTTCCTTACAGTTCCCTTCTACTCCCCGTCACAGGAATGTGCTTTTGACCATTATGGGTCAACTTCTGATGCAGCTTAATTAGCTGCCAGGAGTTAAAACTCCATAGCCAAATAAATATGTTGGCTAAATTTTTGGAGCGATGTTAGGTCAGTGAAAACTAGTTTCACTTTGCTGAAATTTAGCAATATAGATATAGATACTTAGAGCACTGATTTTAATTAGTGATTTTCTTTTTGTTCACTCTGAAGGTGCTGAACACAACTGCTTTCTACTACCCTTCAGATCAGCCAGGGTTGCTTATTCATATGAAGGGTGTCTGGGGAGAAGAATCCCGAGTAAATTATATTTAATTTTTAGATTTGGTTTTTATCCCATCACTCTCAAACACTAACTATAAGTTGGGTATTGAAAAGGAGTGATGGAATCAAAGAATAAAATGTGTTATTCACTTTCTTTTAAATGGTTTTGAGACAAACCCAGTTCATGGCAGAGAAATGAGTGCCAGATCACGTCTTCTAAGAGTGTAAGTAGCAAAGAATTAGAAAAAAAAATCTAGAAAATACAAAAATCTTCAGAGAAGGCTGCACAGAGGCAGGAGAACTTACACACTGACTTGAAGGGTGGGAGGGCGTTCTGTGCAGCAGTCATGGTGAGACTGGCCTGTTGTAATAGTGAGTAGGAGTGAGGGTGTAGCTCAGTGGTGAGCTCCTGCCTACCGTGCGCAAGGAGACCTCTCCCTGGCTTCTCCTAGAATGCTGGTGGTTGATGCAGAAGGGAGCACAACCTTAGTTGTGAACCCACCAAATTTCCCAGCTCCGGGATCTTGGAAAACACCAGTATTTCAGGAGTTCTGAGTCTCAGACACCTGTGGGTGCTGCCCAGTGGCCGGGTTTGTTTTTAAGGTTGTCCACTTTAGGAATGGATTTCTTTCTACCCTTTAACTTTGCTCAGAGATTGCCGAGAATGCGCAGTTACTGGTTAACTTCTATGTGGAGATATTTTATATTGTGTCTTATTTTTATTTTGCTTGTTTAGATTTTCTTTCCAAATAGAAGTGGGAACTCATTTTACACTGTAGTTTGGAAAGATTTGATAAGTATCTGCAGAACCTTTTCCTTGTCCAAGGTGGATGGGAACATTTTCTTTTCCACATAATTATTTAGCAGTGCTGTGTTTTGGATTTGTTTGCTGCTTAATTTTTTAAAAAAAAATATATATGAAAGTTTTCATTGTAAAATGTTACTTGAGGTTGAAAAAAAGGCTTGATTTTTCCAAAAGGGGTGTGGTCTTCAGCGCTTTCTGTTTCTTAGTGATTTGAATGGGAAAGTGGTTCTTATAAAAATTTCCTCTTCCTTTGGAAAATGTTGATGTTTTTCAAGTTTTGCTAAAGGAAAAGGGAGCTTGGGAGGCTTTTCGTTTTTTGTTATCTACAGAGCCCTTTCCCTTCTGATCTGTGCATTGTTTTATAACTCTTTGAACTAACTTATTTACTAGGGAGAATTTTGCTTGAAAGTGGACCAAAGCTAGGTATTTCTGAATAGCTACTCAAGAAATTGTTTACTCTTTCGTATTAGATGTCTCCAGGAGGGACCTGGGGTCTGGAAAGGGTATTAGATTTTTCATTCTATTCTTTGTACTGCTCAGATTTTTTTTTTAAACCAGTGCATGTAATAACTAATATAGAAAGTCATTGTTTTTTGTTTGGTTTTGTAGGCATCTAGGCTTAGTATGTGGTTATGTAGGTTTTAAAAGAACTTGATTTTGAAATTTACTAACCACTTACAGGGTTTGTGTCATTTGTAAAACTATTTAAAGGTAAAGATAGAGCTGTAAACTCAACATACTGCTATCAGTGCTTTCAGACTTTTTTGAACTTGCTTCACTTGTTAATTGGTTTCTGGTGCCAGTCGGAAAGCCTGTCCAGTGTGCGCTTCCTTTAGCCTGTGCATTCATGAGTGCAGACTTTTCTTCTGCTCACCTGATTTTTCTTTCTCTTTTCCCTCCAAAGCCCAGAGCGCTTGGGGAGACTGCGGAGAACCTTTTCCCAAGACTCCAGAAGCACGCCTCTGCATCTTGTGTCTCAGGAGAGTGAGGGAGTCTCTGTGTGCGTGCAGCTGAAAGGACCCAGGCAGATGTGACCGGAAGCCGCCTCCAGGTAGCTGAGTCAGCCTTCCCGGGGGCTTTCAGAGCCAGCATTAAGTCACCTCTTTTAATGCTTTTTGGCAAAGATCAAATCTGCCGGTAAATTTCTCACTACAAATGATTATTTTGTTGCTTTATCTGAATTTGGTATAAGAAAATTAAGACCACCTTCCTTAGTTTTTACATCACCTGGATGATAGGCTTTTGGCAGGGGGATGGATCTGCAACAGCTCTTCATTAACTTGGGCTAAGTTGTTCCAAGACTGCCAGGGTCTCCTTCCATATAAGCGTTTCTGCCATTCTTTGCAACATACAGGCCTTCTCCCCACCTTTACTGCAGGCAAACATTTTATTTAGAGACATTTCTGTGCATACACAAAGTATGCATATTGTTTTAAAAAGTTTGTTGGGGGGCTGGAGAGATGGCT